TTTCTGGTTTCAAGAATGACTTATAATTATTGAGGATCACAAAGACTTTGGTTTATGTTATATTTATTAATACTTACTATATTTGAAACTAAAACTGAGAAACATTTAAAACACAAGAACACAAAGCACAAGATCCATGAAGTGTCAGACCAATGACATTAACACACGTCAGGAAGCTTCTAGCAGAGAATGAGGATGAAAATGGCAAATGATGCTTTAGTATTATAATGAAAAAAGTTTTGATCTTGCAGATCTCCTGAGACAGTCTGAAGGACCCCCAGGGGTTCTGGACCAAACTTTGAGAACTGGTGCAAGAAAACTTCTCACCATGTGCCCAAGGGGAAATGGACAAGGATATTCATGACAATATTATTTATAAATAGCAAATACTTGACGATATCCTTTCATCGAGAAATGGATAAGCTGTAAACAGCTATCATTTTTAAAAGAAATTCATATTGATTTGAAGAAAATGAATTTATCTCAAAAATGTTAAGTAAAAAAGCAAGTTAGAGAATATTATATAGAGTATGACATCATTTAATGAAATTTAAATATGTCAAAAAATACTACTAATATTGCTTCTATCTATCATCTTACTTGAAAATGAAAACAATCTGAAACACTACGATGTGCTATTTGTTTACTTTAGATAGAAGCTACAAAGGATTTTTAACATGATCCTCTGTAATTTTTTTTAGCAGTTTTCAAAATGATTTCTAGGCTGTTACAACAGATGATTAGTAAGTTCCAGCTTCAGTCCACCTAAGACAGTGGTTCTTAAAGTGTGCCCTCCACCCATCAGTAGCAACAGCATCATCTGAGAACTTGTTAGATGTGCAAACCATGGGGCCCCCCACAGGCCCACGGAGTCAGAGTCTCAGGAGTGGGGCCCAGGAATCTCAGTTGTAACCAGCTCCTCAGGAGATGTTGATGAAAGCTCAAGTCTGAGAACCACTGGGCAAGAACAAATGCGACCATTCAACCTGCCCTTTACATAAATGTATCTAATTCTGCAGGAATTTTGGTAACATTGCTTATGATATCCTTGTGGACAAAATGATGTTAGATACAAAGAGGAGTTTCTCAAAGATATTTGTCAAATGTTTTATGTTTTAAAGGGATCTCCCCACCCCGCCCCCCACCTTGCCTACATGCCTTTGACTTGGGTGCATGAACTTTAACTTTTGACACGAATCTGAGCTAACCTGTGGCTCCTGGTTACATTTCCGAGATTTTGGAAACGTTGGCCAGGGTAAACCTGTGTTAATACCTTATGTGGACAAATTCATTTTTAATGACCTAAATCAAGGTTATCAAAGTGTGGTCCCCAGACCAGCAGCATCAGCATCACCTGGACACTTATTAGAAGTGCAAATTCTTTGGCTTCATACCAGTCCTGCTCCATCAGGAACTCTGGGGATGGGCCCAACAATCTTTATCAAGCCCTCCAGGTGATTCCATTGGACTGTAGTTTGAGAAACACTGACCTAAATAAATCTACGTACAAGAGGTGTGTCCTTCTGAGTGCGACATGCAATTTAAAGAAGGCTTGAATAGGAACTGCTGACACTTTAATCAGTCAGAGAAGAGAATGTC